AATTAATTCTCATTTATGAATTGAGAAAATTAGTTTTTAGTTATTCATTAATAAAGGGAATTATTTCTTATTTGATATCAAATGCTTGGCTATTTCGATGTTGTTTTTACCAAATACTGTTGTGATTTTGATACAGATGAACTTGGTGTAAATTGAATAAATTCAGCTTTTGAGCTGTACCAACCAACAATGATGGTTAAAGAATGTTACTATTTATATTTGGAACATATATTGCATATATGTTTAAACCATATGCACCTTTAACTAAGCTCGTACTAACTGAAATTATTCTGCTCGTTTTTGGGCCATACCTGGACATCGTTAAGTCCTTGATTGAAGAATTTTCAGTTTATTGTATACATGTCTATGCACCTTTTGATATGTTGATATATGTCATTTGCATCCATTTCAATTGTGAAATTCAATTTTCAATTATATGTTCATGTATACATGCAGGGGACATCCACCCTGATATTAAGTTGGATTAATAAAATCAGAAAAAATGAGAGAAATATGGATGAGTGGAAGTTGAGTAAAATCTGATGAAGGATAAAACAAGTTATGAATTTTAAAAATCATTCTAGGTCAAATACATACAGTGGGACCTCAAAATAAATAAAAGATCCTTTGAATGAACGATTGCAGAACCCTTTGACTGATAAAATATCTATATACTCTCTCAATCAATGTGAGTAAATTGCAGAGGTTATGGTTTTATAGTAATGCAATGACGGATACATAGATTTTGTAAGATAGAAAGTATTTTATTCCAAACGAATGAAGAGGTTGTTTCATTAATATACAGACGGTAACAGAACCAAATAATAGTTGTGTCCATATATGTAATAATGTAATTTATTTTTAAAATGAAAAAAAAAGAATAAGATGGTGGGTCTTAGTTTCGAAGATTTGTTTAAATTTCTATTTCCTTTGAAATAACCGGGTCTGGAGGAAAGACTACTCTCTATACCCATGTTATTCCACAGGAATGAGATGGTGAGGTCTTAGTTTGAAGATTTTTTTTTTTTTAATAACCGAGTCTGAAGTAAAGACTACGTTCTAATCCCATGCTTTATTACCGGGTTTTAATTTGGAAGATGGAGGTGTCTTAGTTTAAGAGGTTTTTTTGTTGTTTTGTTTTGTTTTGTTTTGTTTTTTGTTTGTTTTTTAACTTTTGAAAAACCGGGTCTGGAGGAAAGACTACGCTCAATACTTATATCCTTCCACAGGAATAAGATGATGGGGTCTTAGTTTTGAAGATTTTTAAAAAAGTTTTGAAATAACCGGGTCTGAAGAAAAACTACGCTCTAAACCCATGCTTTATTACCGGTCTTAGTTTGGAAGATGGTGGGGTCTTAGTTTTGAAGATTTTTTAATTTTTTATGAAATAACCGGGTCTGGAGCAAAGACTGCGCGCTATATCCATGCTTTATTACAGGGTTTTAGTTTTAAATTCGATAAAATATCCCTTTAAATTTATTACATTAGTGGGTAAAGTCATTATTACATTTATGGGTGATTCAAAATATCACTTCAAATTTTTTACATTTGTGGGTAAAGTCATTATTACATTTGTGGGTGATTCAAAATTATTACATTTGTGGGTAAAGTGGTTATTACATTTGTGGGTGAAATTATTACATTTGTGGGTAAAGTGTTATTACATTTGTGGGTGTTGTTACATTTGTGGGTAAAGTGTTATTACATTTGAGGGCGTTATTACATTTGAGGGCATTATTACATTTGTGGGTGTAACAGGGGGAGAGATCGTAAACTTACATATGAATATAATTCCAGTGAAAGATGAGGGTATATGCATGGGAACTGCAGACTCCATTTCACAATCATCTCTGGGCGTTTTCTTTTTGTTGTATTTGACCTTCCGCATAGTGCGAGTTGTTTTGCCAAGCTGAGATGAAAAAACAAGTGAAGTATAGTTGTATCTTGGAGACCTGATTTGGTCACAAGTTGTATTTAATATTGATCTAATTCATAAAATCAAATATGCAATTACACAATTATTGTTCATTGATAGAAGATCAAATGTCCGATGGCAGCCAACACAGTAATGACCCTTCGACTTTCCTGCGTCGTAATTATAGCATAATTATGTAAATGTTTGGTTCTATGACGACTTACAAACTACGATGATAAGTATGAAGAGACACCAATATTTAACTGAGTTTTTTGTTGTATTCTGTCAAATTTTAAAGCTAACGCTGGTAAATTTTGGGTTCAAACTTTTTTTTTTTTTTTTGAATCGTGTTCAACAGAGGAAGTCAGTCTGAGGTCTACTTGTTTGAAAGAAAAGGTCTTTTACATACACTGGGTCGATTCTAAACTAACTGAAATTTGTGTTTAAATTTTCGACATTTAATTTAGGATCACCAGATATATCTCGTTTGTACTTAGAAGCTAGACATCAAGTGAACTTAGTGTAATTGATGAACTAGGTTCTTGTTGTAAGTGCTAGTTTATTATGAGAAAAAACATCTTCCACGTCTCCCCAATCATTGCCGACACCCCTTTGATTGTACGAAGCGTTGCGAATGCAAAACAACCTTGAATGAAGTATATTCAATCAATAGAATCCCTGTTTATCCTAAAGTTGGAAGGTGTACGTGTGACGTGCTTCTCTCATGAATTCATTATTCATTCTTTCTAGAGATACAAATATTATTTTTGTTCCTGATGGTTATTATCTTTGTTCTCGTGGGCGTGTCACCGTTTTGGTCACAATTATATTGCCTCTCTTGTAAGTAGCCCCCTGTGATAAATCGTGCAACTATTGATGCTTGTGATATATGCTGCCTTCATTAATGTAGGTGCAAGGATCAAGCTAAGAATTTCATCGGAATAATACATTTTACTGAATACACTCTATACACCACGATGCGATGGAGGTAAATAAGTGATTTTCTTTTATCATTTAAGAATTGTGATTGTGTGAAAGGTTGGTCGGTTTAGAAGTTTGCAACTATTACTCCGGTTTTTTTTCTCTTTATACAGAAGCATTATCTTCTATATTATTCAAAATAAGCTGCTTCTATTTTTACATATTCCTTATTTGGGCCAGTGTAATGGAGATAAAAATGTCCTAATTTCTTTATTTTCATCTATTGGTGCTTAATAATTTTCACCTTTCCTTCTCTTCTATGCTGCTCTACTTTTCCCTTAGATTCTCTTTTTTTTCCTTTTTCATCAAAATATTTGATTCCTTCTGTATTTTGAGTGCGGTCGATGGAATATGCTTATCTACGTATATGGGGTTGAACATTCATGTCATGCTACAATGGCACAATTGATTTGATTCATAAAATATAATTTTTTTTTTTAAAGGAAGTATAGTATGGAATATGATTCGTGGAATCATTCATTCTTTCATTTACTCGTTCATTCAATCATTCATCCGATCAATCATTCAAACATACATTCAATCAAACATTCGTTAATTCATTCATTCATTCAATCATTCATTCAATCATTCATTCCACCATTCATTCATTCATTCAATCATTCATTCCATCATTCATTCATTCATTCATTCATTCAATTATTCATTCCATCATTCATTCATTCATTCATTCATTCCATCATCCATTCATTCATTCATTCATTCATTCAATCATTAATTCATTCCATCATCCATCCATTCATTCATTCATTCAATCATTCATTCATTCATTCCATCATCCATTCATTCATTCATTCATTCATTCAATCAATCATTCATTCCATCATTCATTCCATTATTCATTCGTTCATTCATTCATTCCATCATCCATTCATTCATTCATTCATTCATTCATTCATTCATTCCATCATTCATTCATTCACTCATTCATTAATTCATTCAATCATTCATTCCATCATTCATTCCATCATCCATTCATTCATTCATTCATTCATTCCATCATCATTCCATCATTTATTCATTCATTCATTCATTCATTCATTCATTCATTCCATCATCCATTCATTCATTCATTCAATCATTCATTCATTCATTCCATCATCCATTCATTCATTCATTTATTCCATCATCCATTCATTTATTCATTCATTCATTCATTCATTCCATCATCCATTCATTCATTCATTGATTCATTCATTCATTCATTCAATCATTCATTCCATCATTCATTCCATCATTCATTCATTCATTCGTTCATTCAAACATCCATTCATTCATTCATTCATTCATTCATTCATTTATTCATTCATTCCATTATTCATTCATTCACTGTTTTATTATCCATATAGATACGTAATGTTTACATGTGTACATGTTTACATGATGCGAACTGCATACATTAGATGTTGCTAGAAAGGGGAATTCGTAATGCTTTTTATAACAGCAACAAAAAATGTATGCAATTCGCTTTCTGACTATTTAGATACAATTGATTGTATTAGGTAAATGTAATAATCGAGGCATGAAGACTTATGCATTAAGTTTTGTTACATTACGAAAATCGCTTAATAATAACTAATTCTTCTTCCTTTTTTTCATTTTGCTTTTCACCCTCGTATTTTTTGTTGTTTTTTGTTTCCTTCAATCAGCTTCCATCTGGTATATTTTCATGATATAACTCTTTCAGTTCGTTAAATATTGTGGGGAGGGATTTCATCTAAACATGTCCCCTGCATTTCTCCCTCCCAGAGGAAAGAGACCGCATACCTGCTGGTGTGTATCTACTCCGCAGTGACGTGTTTCCTTCTCTTCTGCCTCCTCTATGAAACCCACCACGATGTCTCCCAAGCTTACCCCCCTTCCAGACGATTCACCTTTAACGGTGTGATCAAGGTAGTCAATAATCTGTCCAGCTCCGAAGGCGACACCCTAACCCGTTTCCACCACGAGGAAAAGCTAAATAAGGGAGGAGAGGGAGCTAGAGATGATGTTCTGATACCAGAGGATGGGGATGATGATGCTGTGATACAGGAGGAAGAGGAAGGTGTAAAGGGTGTAGGTGCTTGGGGATCATCAGGAGAAACGGATGAATCTGAAGGTGAGATACCAGACGAAGGGGGTGCAGGTGCTGGCGGAGCACGAACAGAAGGAAGAGAAGGTGATGTTGTGCCACATGTAGAGAGTGTAGACGATGTGGCGATTGGTTTACGGGTTGCAACACAGTCGGTGCACAATGTAACACCTTCCTCTCCAGCAAACCTTTCTTCAACTGGCTACTTTATACTGGATACTAAACAGGTAGTTATATTTCTTTTCCATTACCATTATTATTGAAGTGAAAAAGATATGTGACTGGTTAAATATTCCTAAAGAATTTCGAAAATACAATTTAGCCTTTAATGCCAGCATTGGCATAATATCAGTCTTATCTGCTTGGAAGACCTGGCAGATCGAAGTGGGCAGTCTCGGGCAACAGATTATCGTTTATCTTGACTCTTTTGTAACTGTTTGTTTCCTTTCGTAGACGCATTTGCGAAACAATTCAATTAGTCAAAAAGAACATTTTACCCGCTATTTGATTTTATTAGGTATTACATTCATCACTGGTCGTGATAAAGTCCCTATATTTTGGATGGACATTTCGTCACATCAATTAAAGTTTTACGCAGTATACTATTTATCATTTAGTATATTTTAAGAATTTAAATCACATATTGTGTATACATCATGAAATGAAGTACGACAATGAAAATATTTCAAATGAAGACGTGGATGAGACGAAATATTTACGATCACTCTGAATGGTTATCTAAAGTATGAAGCTGATATTTGGCCATTTAATTAATAGCCCTTTGAGGATGAGATTTTGTATAATCAACTCAAAGACTACACTGCTCATAAATCACAGACAGTGGCGTATAGCTAAGGGAAGCACTTACCCCTCCCCGGCCCCCCCCCCCCCCCCACTCAGTGTTATTTAGGGTACGCATATGCTCGTACCCTTTTTTTGAAAGCACCCCCTATCTGAGGACTGCCAACATTTCCGAACCCCCCTTTCGCGGGCTTTTCGCGTGCTTTTCCTGCCTTGGAGACCCCCCTAAATCAGGAAAAATGCTCAATGTACCCCCCTAAATTCGGAATAATTTCTCAGGAGTCCAAAGAGATGAGAGAAAAAAGAAAAACACCCCTTTTTAAAGAAATCTCCGGGTGAAAAGTCAAATACACCCCTTTTTTTTACAATTCTCGGGCCGGACTTTGTCGCACGAAAAGTACCCCTTTACCGGACATTTTGGCAACACGCATGCGGTCATTCCGACCTCTGAGTGGGGGGGGGGGGGGGCCGGGACCCCTCCCCAGTCAAATGGCGAATTCAGGGAAAAGAAAAGGAAAGAGAAGAAAGACATTTTAAGAAGAGAAGAGAGAAAATGGAGGGGAAGGGTGACAACTTATCTTCCCGTTCCCTATCCCTTAATCGATGGTCGGTTAATTCGCATTTCACTCATCAATTATTATAAGACCGATGCCCTCTCAAAGTCTCAATGAATAAACGCACACTAGGCTACTTTTTATATTAATGATTCTAATTTTATTGGATGTTTTATTTGTGTATATACGATGATATTCTTAGGTATATTCAGAGTCCTAAACATTATAGTGTTTAACAAATTCTCTGATTCTGCTTGTGATGTCTTTGATTTCTTCAGCCATTCACGAAGCGGTGTAGACTATGTGCGTTGGTATCGAGTGGTGGTCATCTGTATCGATCTGGAGCCGGTGCCGAAATCGACAGCGCTGATTGTGTCCTTCGTATGAACACCGCCCCGGTCACCGGCTATTCTAGCGACGTCGGGCTTCGTACCGACATCCGAATCATCGGCCACGTCAACCTCCCACGAGGACTCGTGAAGAGGAGTTCGTTGAGGAATGAGATCTTGTCGAACTCGACGACGAGGACGAGATACGTCGTGGTGCCCTGGCTGAATAAGGAGAAAGTGAACATGAAGACGAATAAGATTGTCAAACTTGCGAGGCAGTACAAGCGCAAGTACCCTAAGGTTGATTTCGTCTTCCTGACAACCAAGAAATATTCTCAGTCAGAGGCGAGGTACAAGAACGAAACAGGGTATTCCAGGTAATGACATATTGTAATATTGCAGAAGTAACATAATATGAACAGGAAGATGGTCGGGTGGGGGGGGGGGGGGGGGGGTGGGGGTGGTGGTAGTGGTAATAGAAGAGTAAATTATTATTATTATCATCATAATGGTTATCATCATCATTATTATAATTACTATTATTATTATTATTATAAATGCTAATACTGTCATTATGATTGTTTGTAGTAGTAGTAGTAAAAGTAATTCCATACATGTAGTAGTAGTAATAGTAGTAGTAGTTATAGTGATAGTAGTAGTAGTAGTAGTAGTAGTAGTAGTAGTAATAGTAGTAGTAGTTATAGTAATAGTAGTAGTAGTAGTAGTAGTAGTAGTAGTAGTAATAGTAGTAGTAGTAATAGTAGTAGTAGTAGTAATAGTAGTAGTAGTAGTACTAGTTATAGTAGTAGTAGTAGTAGTAGTAGTAGTAGTAGTAGTAGTAGTAGTAGTAGTAATAGTAGTAATAGTAGTAGTAGTAATAGTAGTAGTAGTAGGAGAAGTAGTAGTAGTAGTAGTAGTAGTAATAGTAGTAGTAGTAGTAGTAGTAGTAGTAGTAGTAGTAGTAGTAGTAGTAGTAATAGTAGTAGTAGTAGTAGTAGTAGTAGTAGTAGTAGTAGTAGTAGTAGTAGTAGTAGTAATAGTAGTAGTAGTAGTATTAGTAGTAGTAGTAGTAGTAGTAGTAGAAGTAGTGTTTATTTTCACCCGTTGATCGAGTACGAATGGACTTAGGCCTAATTCATTTTCATTTATCAATGTAATCACGGTAACTCGATTTAGCCTACACTGTAAAAAAAAGGTTGGGCAGATGTTACTGGGTAAATCGAAGTTGGGCAAATTTTGTCTGATAATTGGGTTATTTTCTCCCAACCATTTACTATATGAAGTTACCCAATGAAAGGTAAAAAATAGGTTGGGTAATGTCATTGGGCAAACGTAAGTCGGGCAACATTATTATCCAACAATATAGGGTTATGTTTATTCATTAGAGGTGTCGGGATCGAGTGGATATGTCACAGGACTAAGGATTACAAGTTACGCGGTTCGAGTCCCGCCGCGGCACTATTCTCCTTTTATATTTTATCCAACTTATTTGCCCAACTAGGTGTGTAACTTATGTTACACATTATAGTGAGAGTTAGGTGAATTTCTGATTGGGTAAATTTTTGTTGGTTAAAAGTTGGTATTTTCTTTTTATCCAACATTGGGGAAATCATGCAAAATCTGTAATTTACCCAACAGTTGGTTGGACACATATATGCTGGGTAAAAATTGGGCAATTTTTTGCCCAATATTTTTTTAGAGTGTAAACGGCTATTTTTCTTCTTCTAAGAGTCCATGCACTCATGAGCCTCAATAATCCTTTCGTGGAATGCTGGAAAGAAAAGGCTTTACCTCAAGAAATCTTGCGAGTTCTTTTCTTCTTTTTCTTCTCCTCTTCTTCCTGTCCCTTATTCTTGTGTACTCTATCCTTTCAGAGCCGCGATGCGAACAAAATTCAGCACGGGCTTTGTATCCATGGTATTTGCTCTTGATATCTGTGATGAGGTGCTGGTATACGGAATATCAAGGGATGACTTCTGCAAGTATGTTTGCGATCATTTTTAATTTCATATTTCTCTATACTATACGACGGCCTCATTTAAAAAAAGAACAAGACTTAGTTTACTGTAAGGTATACGCATCCACTTATTTTGTTTAATAACCTCTGAATGAATTTCAAAGTAAAAAAAAAAAGCATTATACGCAACAAGCATTTACTTTAATGTTCTGAAAACTTACACTGGATCTGATGTAAACCAAATTATAAAGTCATTTTTTACCCTTCGGATTTTGGAAAGACTAGCGCCTCCCATTGGGGCATAATTATTATGCACCCATTTGTCTTGACATCAGGCTCTAATGTATTAGCGTACGTAATAACGCAATGTAAATAATGCATGAAATGAAGAGGTTCTGACTGGCCTACATGTAGGATTTTAAGTTCCTGAGTAGATGCAAGTCTATACTCGATGTACAGACCAGAAAGGCCTATGAGAACATAAATCCATGATTTGGAAGATTGTGATGTGAAACTGTTCTATCTAATCATTGGCTGCTCAGAGGGGCGTTATGACAAAACATAGATCTAACACCCTTCTATATAGCGAACAGCCGACGGTTTCATGTCTCTACTGATTTTATGACATCCGTTTTCTCATCCTACCATTCCTCGTCATTTTCTTCTCCTTTCAGGAAAAATCCAAAGGCAAAGGTCCCCTATCACTACTACGAACCTAAGAAAAGGAGCGAGTGTTTCTTCGTCAAAAAATCGGAGATGAATTATAAAAGTGGCCACAAGTTTTTGACAGAGCATGCGATGTACGCACGATGGTCTACCGTTCACAACATCACTTTTCGCTATCCATCGTGGAATGGCTCAGAAGCATCCGGACGCGTCGGTTCATACTATTTGAAGAAATATAAAAACACATTAGAAAAGACTTTGAAAAGCAAGAAAGGATGAGTTACAATGTTCACATCGCCACAGAGATATGTATATGCGAGACGGTGTGACAGCGAGTTTAGTCATGTTCTCCTTCTGTCCGGAGCAGTCATGAAGAAGTTTTGCCCCAGCATCATTTTTATGTTTAGGGAAACTTGTCTTGTTTGTAATTTTTATAGGTAAATGCATGTATTGATTCAACATTGAAATTTATCTTTGTAATGGACTATTGTACGCAATGTAACCATAAGGAAATATCAAGCACGTGAGTTTTTTAAAAAATAAGGGAAGATACTGATTTGTTTGTTTAATATTAAGTACTTTTAGCAAAATCTCTGGATAAAAAAAAAAAAAAAAAAAAAAAAAAATCAAAATCAAAATTGGCCAGAAATTTAATTCCTGATATTTTCTTTTCTTTTATGAAGTGCCAAATTCAGTTGTTACTTTGATGTTGCAAACAGGTCATTTCTTCATGTAGCCCCGAAAGTTACCTATAATATTCTTTTAAAGGTAAATGGGTGTTCTACTCTAGCAGAGGTGTTGATCCACGTGGGTGGTTGCCACCGTCCTCCAATTTCGGAATCGGTTTATTTTTACTATAGCTATACGCAAGGCCGTAGCCAAAGTTTGATGTTTTTTTTTTTTTTTTTTTTGGGGGGGGGGGGGGAGGGCACATACATGTAATTGATCGACGTCCTGGGGAGGGGTCTAAAAAAGTTCAAACCGATCTTTGAAAAGATTTTGGGGGCACGTCTCCCCCCCCCCCCCCCCGAGCCAGCACTCTCCCCGTCCTTTTAGTAATTAAATTGTATGTATATAAACAAAAATGCAAAAACCTGCTTTGTTTGAGAGGAGGTTCTTCAAGCCGGAGATGACGTGGTTTATTCACTTGACTCTCAATCCAGGGGTTGACCATTCGAATCCTAGCCCGGCATTAAGTTAAACGTCCTTTGGCATGATATCAATCTACATTGCCACCCTTCACCCAGATGATGCAATGGCCGATGGGAAGATACTCCTCGAATGCCAGAGCGCCTTAAATATTATCAGGGTATCTGGGTTATAATGCATGTGTGATACCTGTAAAACTACAGCGCTTAGAAACATAATAGGCATATCAAGCGCTATGTAAATATTGCTATAATTATTGTTAATATAATGTTATTTGTTACACTTTTTCACCAAACCGTCATATTCAATAACAAATTCACCGGCAACCATGCCGTGAAAAGCATGTATTTAATTTAACACGCCTTTCGATGGAATATCGGTGAACTTGTATAGGTATGATAGTTTCCTGAAGCGATGCCATGTAGAAAGCGTGTATAAAGAATTGAAAATGAAGTCAAATAAAGAAGAAAAATATATAAAAACTCCATTTCCGATTGGTATTTTTGTTCAGATTAAAGGTCCCCTCCCTCATTGTATACTGAGCATTGACAATGTATTATGATCAGAATATTATGAGCAAGTCCAAGACAAGTCCCATCCGTTAACAAGTTTTTAAATTGTATTATGGAATTGTAAACAAAAATTGATATGAATATCATGCTATTTGATCTGAGAAGTGCTGTTAGCTTGATACAGTCATCAAATAGTTCAACAGCTAATTATAGTTTTTGTGGAAAGAAATTTATGGTATTTATGTAAGTCATTAGTTTCTTGATAATTGATTGAGATGATTGTTATCACCGTTATCTTTATATTATTTTTATTACTACTATTAGTATTACTACCATCATGATCATTATCATTATTATTATTATATTATTATTATTATTATTACTATCATTATTGTATAGGAAGGGGATAGGTCGATTTAGAGAGACAGAGAAAGAGACAGAGGGAGAGAGAGGTGATCGGGAGTGGCCAAAGGCTTTGATAAGTGGAGGCAGGCGCGTACGCAGGGGGGGGGGGGGGGGGGGGGGGTGGTTGGGGGGTTAAACCCCCCCCTTTGGTACTTTTATGTGTGTAAACCCCCCTAAAAAAAACCTAAACCCCCCCCCCCCTTTTTTTTTTTTTTTTTTTTTTTTTTAATTATTAAAAAAAAAAATAAAAAAAAAATAAAAAAAAAAATTACCCCCATGGCTGACCTAAGAAAGGTGACCTTACCCCCCCCCCCCCAACGGAGCAAAATGTCAATTTTTCAAATTTCGAGACCCCCCCCCCCCCCCCAAAAAAAAAAAGTGTGTCCTCTTACCCCCCCCCCCCCCCCCCCCATAATTGTGTAGCTTATGAGACTATCACTTATGACGGACAAAGAAAACGGACAAAATATACAGTTCCTCAGGTAGACAAAGGAACATCCCTTCATTGCTATTATGTAAAAATGTGTAGAACAGGTGAACATGCATGTGACACCTGTTCCACATTTTGTACATAATAGCGGTGAAGGGATGTTCCTTTATCTACCGAGGAACTGTATATTTTGTCCGCTTTTTTGTCCGTCATATTCATAGTGTATGGACCTATTACGGATGGACATTCGTCGTTTGGTTAACGAATTCATTGTGATAGTCTCCGTCAATGTCGTCTCAATAACATTCCGTACAATTTTCTTCACTTTGATCTCACGAGTGTCACCGCCAATAAGCCGGGAGTGATTTACACACGTTAATCTACAATCGCAGAAGATAACAAATCGCTTAAAGATAAAGACCTGCACTTATGGTCATGCGATTGCATTGTGAAAGAAACGTGGAACCGATCAGAAAAGGTTGATCATCTAGCATATAAGTATTGGTGTGTACTGCAAGGTTCTGGAATCATCAAAATGATAAGAAATTTGGCCCAATCTTGATAAAGTTACAAGCACTGTACACAAAAAGATGTATATGGGACTACCCCACACGTGCGCGACACATGCGTATATCTATCAGGTCTAAATAGATATAATAATTTACCAAATATATCAATTAGTAGGCGGTTTCTCGGCAAAATTTGTATGGATCACGTATTAGTCAAAACATATTTTTGCACATGTTTGGTAATAAGAGCCTCCATTTCATATTTTGAGAGAGAGAGGGGCGTTTCCAAAACTGATCTTTACCTTTAAATCATGGGAAATCGATGTGCAGGTCTGGTTTATAATACGAAATTTCTTTTCCGTGTACTGTATTTTATTTTGAAAAACATGTTGATATTACCTGATAGAGGTTATATTTGGATTGGTGTGATTTAAAATCCTGCTTCCCCCAATTTCCTCATAATTTTCCAAAGTTACAGCGCACATGGCTTATACAGATCATGGCCTTCTAATTTTTTATAAGGTCATGGGTGTGTGCGAACCAGTAACAATACATTTCATATCGCCAAAATCGTCTACTTTTCAACTCTGCTGCTCCCCATTTGGGATTTTTTTTAATTTAAGACACACTCTTACAGAGCACACCATCCAAACAAAACCCAAGAGAGGGAAACTGCTCCTTTGTCAATGACCGAAAATGCTTACGCAGTCGTTATTGTTAAAACAGCTGAATGGGGGGGGGGGGGGGCACACGGGGTGGGTATATATATATTTTGTTGTTGGTCCCAAAAAATCGCAACGACTCAACTAGCTACTGAATAAGCGGGGGGGGGGGGGGGGGGGGTGGGGGTAAGAACGCTTTTTTTTTTTTTTTGCTCCCGAATATTTGAAAGTCGCGCCGGCCGCAAATTCGCGCAGTGGGGGGGGGGGGGGGGGGGGCCTGTGCCCCCTGGATCCGCCACTGTAAATGTGAAAGGCCCTCGTGCAAGATTAAGGCGCTTTGATTAAATTCATGGAAGAGGTAAAACCCTGCCCATCATTGTTTTCATGTTGCAAAGTTGGTTACAGGCTGAAAAGGATAAAATGGGACAGTACAGAGTAAATACAACGAAGAAATTATAATTGAAATTGTAAAAAACGTTGTAAACCTGGCAATGAGAGGCTTTTGAATCCAGTTTTAAAAATGGACATGGCTTTGCATGTGGCTAAAGCTACCGGCCGCAGGCTACGCTGACGACTGACAGCGACGACTGCCAGCTACGACTGCCAGCTATATATTTTTACATGACGAGCTAGCTGACGACTGAGATTGATTAATTGATTTTTATTCGTCAAGGTTCCAATATACAACAATATACAAGAATAACAGATCAAAATCAAGTCAGCTTGAACAGGAGAACCCATGAAAGCTCGAGAGCTTAATCCCAGTGGGATCCCCGACATACATGTACAAAATTAATAAGTTAAACATTTATAGTAATATTTACAGACAGATAGAAAAACCAAAAAAAGTTGAAAGGGTAGCGGCCTTAATTCTTAAACCATTGGAAAATAGAGTTACATACGTTTTTATACAACCCCCCCCCCCCGGCCCCTGGAAAAGCCATGTAAATATAGCCTAAACTCCAAATAAATATGCAGTGTCTTGGAGCACGTAAAGAAAGAACAATTTAAATAAATATTGGAGATGAGCCTAGAGTGTAGGGGTATATATACCAACATCTAATTTTCATTTTTTCGCTCTGAGATAACCCTTTCTATGTGCCCCTTTTTCTTCCAAATAGTATCCTTTTTTTTAAAGTACCCCCCTCCCGAATCGAAAGCTGCTCCGGAGGTCGAAAATTTGTCATCCTTATTCAGTTTTAAGGTGTGTTTTAATTCCAAAATAAAGGAGCATACTAACTTTGCAAATTGCACCTGACATTTATGTGCCATGGTTAGGCAGATTCATAGAGCTACATAGCTCTATGGGCATCTAGAGACATACTTATCCGTGCGGCGCGGAATCGAAAGCAAGCATAAATTAATACCCAATACGTATACGCTGTGTATTATTGGGTTACCATGCTAGGATTACAGTGCCTGAGCTGCCTATATAGTGTGCATGCAGTGCATGCGAACACGCACGTTTTCCGTTCGCGCTATATAGATAACGATCGCGCTCAACGCGCGCTCGCTGCGCTTGCGAATAGTGTACGTATACGTCGTAAACACGTACGTTGACGAACTTCACATCTGAGGAAGATATATCCGGAGGAGCAATTTTTTTCCTCCGTGAATTTTGTCTTGCGGATTAATACATTTAGTGGAATTAAACGGATTTTACGGAATATTTCAACTGTGATTCTTGATACTGATAGTTGGTGAGATCGTTACCTCAGCTTAAATGCTGAAATACTAAAAACTATTTTTTCTCCAAGATCCTGTGAACGGTAACTGGCCATACAGAAAAGACACGACCGTGCAGTATTGCTAAATTTGCGTCTGAACCACTTGTCTATGGTTTGCACGCAACGCAACGGGTTACAGATCGCAACGGGTTACAGTCGCATCAGTCAGTGAAGTGTTGATGGAAAATCGATGAATATATTTAATTTTGTTGTTTATTGATGCCGACAGTGGATTAAAAAAACATATATTGAATCGAGAAAACCTCTCATCTTCATCATCTCGTCTACATATTTCACGATTTTGTCTTAGATATCCACAATGAATGCAAAGTCGGACATCAATTTGGATCGGATAATTGAGCAGCTCATGTCTGTTCGTTCAACCCCCGGAAAACAGGTGAGGATGAGGTTCTATTCTAAAATCCAATTTCAGTCTAACTCTAACTAAGCTAACCGTACGGTAATACTATGTACACCTAGACTCGTGTTCTTTATGAAAAATGCTAACTGTTACTACAATACTAGGCCTACAGTCTTTACAGAAATAACCGTCTGGTAATAACTAATAATGGTATGGCTATGAGTATGACTGAGTATGACTTTATGAGGAATTCTTAATAAAACTGACATTTGGCTTGCCAATCTTCCCCCCCCCCCCCCCCCCCCACACTCCGGGAATGGAGGGACCGCATTCATGCTCCTAACATCTTTGGTAAAGCCAGGGGTACTTTTCACGAAACGAAGCCCGGCTCGTAATACACAAAAAATAGACCCTATTGTCTTTACACACCGGACTTTAATAGGGGGTGCTTTGAAAGGGAGGGAACATGCACACGCGCACTGAGTGAGGAGGGGGGGGGGGGGGTAGCCGAGACCTTCCCTAGGTGATACACAGATGGTACCCCTTGCAGCATGCACACAACAGTGGGTGTAATTTCATCACTATCTGGCGTAAAATTGTAGGTCTGAGTCTAAGCTGTAGACTCTAGTCTAGTCTACCTAGACTCGACTACGGACTAGATCTATTAAAGTAAGAACTAAGATCTAGAGTCAACCCATATCTCGTTTAGACTGTCTAATGATATCGAAATGACTAAGGCTTCAACCAATCTGTCTGGTTTTGTGAAGTTACTGCTCTTGATAAGATCTACAATCGCTGCATTGCATAACCCTCCTAGAGTCCTACACTACAGCACACAACTTACTGAACAGTCTCTATAAAGTCTAGAGGCGGTCAGTGGAGCCAGACATAGTCTCAGTCGGACAACCGTTGATATCAGAGACTAAAGTTTTTGGTCTAATCTAGAGAAATCTAGATCTAGATATAATAATATTTAATAATATTTAATTTTTATATAGCGCTTAATACAAATGTCTTTAGGCGCTTTACAAATATACTATACATTTTGTAGATTGATGTGTGCTAAAATTAACATCAAAACTCAAGCAAGAACAACATCATTTTCAAAAGAAAATACCCCCCCCCCCCCGGTCATTTTGACATTGCAAAAACAAAGATTCCCGTGCTTGAAACAAAAAAATATAAATTTCTAATGATCATTTATTACCACCAGTGTATTTGGGGTGCATAGATGTTATAGTGTATAAATTCTTGTGGACCATAATTTTCTATTCCTTTTCTCCCTCCCCTTTCTTTCTCCTTTGCCCATTTGTGCCCCCACTTCTGCATTAATTTTGCACCCCTTTCAAGTGCAACTTGCCCCTATTACTATCCATGAAACAAAATTTATCACAGTTTTACTTTGAATGAATGCTGATTATCAAATGCTTTGGTATGTACAGCAACAACAATTATAAAAAGATAAAATCACAACACTAACTGCAGCAACATTTTTCACATGATATTTCATACAGGTACAGCTGCCAGAGAATCAGATTCGGCATCTATGCCAGCTATCCCGAGAGCAGTTCTTAGAGGAACCCATGCTGGTTGAGCTAGAAGCTCCGGTAAACATTGTGGGGGACATCCACGGCCAGTATGGAGATCTCATCAGACATTTTGACAAGTGTGGCTTCCCACCAGATTCAAACTATCTCTTTCTTGGAGATTATGTAGACAGGTAAGAATTTTTCATGTATAATGCACACTGTGCGGTGCACAGTTTTCTTTTTTTCTCTTGCAACACAAATCTCCCAAAACATGCTGTTTTATCATAACCTGCTGTCAAACTTTGAAAGATGAACAAGGCCAAATAGATAACTTGGTGGGTATTTGAAACATATATTGTAGGTTAATGCATACCTGCAGACAAATAGGGAAAATACAAGCACTTAAATCATACAGTCCTGGGGGGGGGGGGTGGTAATTATCTGGAAAGGACATTACCAATCACATCGAGACTTGAGGAGATCAAAGTTTTAAAGATTGCATATAAATTGGCAGCTTTAAAAACCCTTAAAAGACAGTTTTCCGATCCATTTATTTTTTTCACGTACATGAATCATGGTTAGACTTATTTAACATTTACAGAGAAATTACCATGTTGCCTATTTGCAGATTGATGTGATCGATTCTAGATTTAATTTCAGCCCAGGCCCTCTACCACAAATGTTTGCAATCAACTGCAAATTTGAAGCAATGATTCTGATTGGTTAACAGTCAGCCTATAGAAAAATATGTGCATGCGGTGATGATCTTGATGCGCGATTGCCAATTTGTGATTGATTGAAACTTTTGAGTTTTGGGGCCCTGAAGGAGTTGAGTGAGAGGTTAATATTAGACCAATCTCTTTGATACAGAGGAAAGCAATCCCTGGAGACCATCTGCTTGATGTTGGCCTACAAACTCAAGTATCCCAACAATTTCTTCCTACTGCGAGGAAATCATGAGTGCGCCAGTATCAATAGGTAAGTGTCTCAATTGCTTTCTGTTTGCGGGTCCTTTGGAAGCCCTATTCAGACATTTGGCAATTAGCTGCCTAAAAAACAAGAGCAACAAAAAACAACAAATAAAGCCTACAAAAACTAACAAACAACATGGCAAAATAAAGTGTAACAGCATCTAGTTTTCCTACATGTACTGTACATGTACATACATAGCGTGCAAGTAAACATAACAAAGAACTCACAGCCTTTTTTTTGTATGCAGCTGTAATTACCTCCCCCCCCCCTCCCTCTTTATAACTTGGCATTGACTTGACAAGGAAAATGGTTTTATGATTTGCCAATGTGGTTTTGTTAGGTGGTCTACCTCAGCAAGTCTGTACAAGGCTTTGAGCATGTTCATGTATAGAGAGTTCATATAATGGTTCCTTCGCCAATGATTAAACCATCGGCTTGAAGTTGTGTTTGAATGACAACGATCTTGTGTTCACACTTTAAAAAAAAGAAGATGTGCTAACTTTGCTATCACTCTCTCCTTCCACTTACGGGTATGAAGCAACTCTCTTTACTGATATAGAAGCATTGGCAGTTTCTTGCTCCCAGAAATATATGTGTACTGAAAATGACTAGGAAAAATGCATACCCTGGTAGTCATTAGTGTGAAGTTACAGTGTATCTTTCTCTCAAACCCCTCCCAGGACTTATAAACAATTAAATTATAAACTTGATCAATAAATATAACTGAAACTGCAGTAATGCTGCGTACGTACAGTTAACAATTGGATTATTCATACCCTTACCGATTTTTTGTTGTCGGAAGTATATGAAAAATTGATATGTCCCAATTTACGTTACTTGAGAAGCTTGTATCTAAAAGTATTCAACAAAGGCTCTAATTCAACCAGTCCACCAATCTTTCTTGAGTTACAAAAAAAAACCCGTCAAATTTACAAGAGGTATGAAAAACTCAGTTGTTAACTGTACATTACATACATTTTCAGACTGCATCACGCACAGTACAATATACAGTGTACATCAGGGTAATCCATAGAAGGAGAGTCTAGCCTCCTTATATATGAGATGCGCCCTGCACAAGAGGTGAAACTATCGATTCCATTCTAGTGGACGGGGCATAATGAATGTATCATGTGTACAGGACTAAGCCGTGCATAGAGACGAGAGAGAAGCAAACATTTCTCAGCTAGCAATATGTGCGGAGAATACATGTATGTGTGGATGTGTTTGCATTCAAAACACTGATCAATATTATAGTCCTCCGGGTGGGTTTGCTGCGTGCACAATTCCACATCATCGTATGTGTCATATATTTTGAAGAAGCATTCTACTTGTAATCCAATCATTACAAGTTTCTATTTATAGTACTAGCTACATTAATTAAACATTTTCTGACAAGTTTCATTCATGAACCAAACAATGCTTATTACTTGTTTGACAGATCCATGTAATGTGTATAATAGATCTGTGTTCTTCAACATCTACATCTACATCTACGTCTACATGAACATAGTTTGAATGTTTAGATATATACACTGTACATGTACATGTATGAAGAAGAATGGTTATAATATAAGCAATTACATGTACATACGTATGTGCAGGCAGAAGAAAGGCTAAATTAAGTAGTGAGTTTTCATTTTATGTGATGGAAATACTATCTAATCATGCAGAGTGCTTTTTTAACCTTGCAGCCCATGTATTGGTTTGTGAAACAAGTCCTGTGCTGGTATGAACAAAATCACATACAGTCCTACGAGAAGGATTTTAGAGTTGTGTGTAAGCATAAAATTAAGCATATCCATGTAATCAGACATACATGTAGATGTACAACGCAAGCGGACATAAACATTGCTGCATTTATATATCATGCCAAGTGTGGAGATGTAGGGGTGTCACGCTTGGGATAGTTTTACTCGGATACATCGCAACTCACATCTTAGCAACGCAAGCGCACAAAAATATTGATGCACATATCGTGCAAAGGGTGGAGATGTAGGGGTGTCACCCTTGCTATAGATTCATACTGATAATCACTGCAACTCACATCTTGGCAACGCAAACTAGAGCACAACAACATTGATGCACATATGGTGCCAAATGTGGAGATGTAGGGGTGTGTCATCTCACCACTGAACTGAAGCAGATGTCTGTTTTGCTTTTTACAGGATACATGTATTTTGTTTATTATTCAAGTGGTAGCTAAATTCTTATAAAATATTATTTGAATGGAATAAAACTGCATATACTGTATGATTTTCGGAAAAAATAAAATAATTTGAAAAACATAACACAATTACATAGTCTGTAATCTTACCCAGAGGTGAATGTAGAAGAGCGATCGAGTTAGCGTAAAAGTAAATTACATTTGTTTACAGCAGCTCTGTGTGTACATATATATATACATTCATTCATGTGTGTGTGTGTGTGTATTTATGTGTGATCATATAACTATCAATTGTAATCACTTTAACTTATCATCAGTATTCCTTCCATTTCAATCTTATGCTGAAGTGGACATAGTGGGATGCTCAATAATACAAGCATACATCATAAAAAAAGAAAATTTAAGGATATATATGGTCAAAGTAAACACATATATACAGGTATGTTGATTTTTATTTGATCATTGTGATGATAATTAGAATAGAAAGTACATTACTTTCATGTTAATCTTATGCTGATATGAACATACAACCTAGAAGGGTGTACAAACTCCAAATATTAAGGTTCTATGAGAAAGTTAATGTAAGCAAACATCGGGTCAATGCAACCCCATTGAGCAGATTTTATATTATTATTGTCATGATATGGCTAGAAAGGGTGATGGTGCTATCCAATCAGGGTTCAGTTTATGTTGATCTTATGCTGATATGAACTTAGTACAAGGATCAAGTTTCATGTGTAAAGGCTTTGTCAGCTTGCAATGTAATTTAAGTAATTTTTTTTGTAGAAACTGGTAACTAATCAATTTGCAAGTACTAATATCAGATCTGTATTATGTGTGCATGCATGTACATGTAGCTCATAGCAACATACAGTGTATGATGTACATGTACTTGTACACGTAGCACACACGTGCAATGAACATACAGACGATTCTGGAAATACTGTATGCAATGTATTAAGTTTATACAGTTTTTCCTCTCCAATGACTATTACTCTGGCTTAAGCTTTCAGCAACTACTGTCAGCACACAGGGCTTTTAAAGGAATGATACCAGGCTCTCACTTACAATGTTATGTATCACAGTTGGGTTGGGTGTGGCAAACGTACATGTAGATCTCTTACAAGAAGATGTGAGTGATGTACTTAAAGGGAAAGTCCACCCCCCAAATAAGTTTGTTTCGATAGAGGCAGAATAATAAGAAAATCAGGTGAGTGAAAGTTTGAGCAAATTCTGAATGAAAATAAGAAAGTTATGAATTATTGAAGTTGTGATCAATCAAATACAAATTGGCAACTCTGTGACTTATTATACAAGCTCTCCTTCATTTGCTTTGTGCATAATATTCCATAAAATCATGTTTTCTTCGTTATTGATGACGGAATATATATTTGTTCCTTGCAGGGGGAGTATAGAAACATATTTGCAATTATTATATTTAGGGTGCATGTATGGTTGAAATTTATCTTGAGGGAAAAGGAAAATTTTAGATTTTTTTAGTACTGAGCAAATGGAAGTTGAGCTCGCATGATACGTCATAGAGTTGCCAATTTGTGTTTGATTGATCACAACTTCAAAAATCCTAACTTCCTTATTTTTAATCGGAATTTGCTCAAACTTTGACTGACTTGTTTCTCTCATTTTTCTACTTCTATTAAAACTAACTTAATTTCAGGGTGGACTTTCCCTTTAAATACATGGCAGGGACTCAAACCCTGTGGTATATGATTCACAGTCTAGTGATTTATCAACTAGACTAAAATACCAATATGAAATGAAAGAGCTACATGAACATACATGTATATTGATCAGCCTTTCTTTTTCAAATTGGCGACATTGGTATTTCTGTGCCTCCACCCAGCAAAGGTAATGCCAGAGGCATTGTGTTTTCAGGTTGTCCATCAGGTTGTCTGTCCGTCATGCTTTCTTATTATTGCAATATCTCAAGAACCATTTGAGGCATGAAGCTCAATTTTAGGGCTCGTTCATTTCACCACAGTCAGTACAGGGAGAGGAGCTAATTTGCTGCGACGGGTAGTACGTGTAGATAAAAAATTTGAGGTCAACTCCATTGTAACGTTAGGGTCTTCATCTCTTTATCGCTATATTTCAATAAACCATTTGAGCCATGGACTTCAAACAATACTGTGCATTTAGATGTGGTGTGTATCAACACAACAAGAAGAACTGAGTATATTTTAGAATAATTAGTCAGATGAATCGATCCAGGCATTAAACTTTGTATCAATACAACAAAAGTGGACACAATGTGTCTTGCTTTGGATATATGTTTTCTCTTTTTGTTTCTTCAAAGAACACAAATATTGCATTCATCACTGGCCATTGCCGAGAGTATGTATAGAAATAGTGAGGAGATTGTGCTTTAATAGCTCCATTCACTACATCATAAAGCCTAGAGAGAGAGAGCAAAGGTGTATGGGTGTACATAGTTACTCTATTCATCTGCAGGTGCCAGTGGCTTGTGATAGTTAACCCTTCTGCATTATGTGTCCCTGGTATCAACAATCACTCAAATGAAATGTGAATATGCACAGGCAGATGTCTCTTTTGTGTGATCCCAAACTATATACCTGTATCTCTATCGATAGAGATATCACACAAGTGATTGCTTTCCGCAGGCAGGCAAGAACGGTCAGGCGAGAACTGCTGATTGAATGAAGAAATGTTATTGGTTTAAATGAGGAGCCTCTATCCATGGTTATCTTTGGAAAAGGTTAACACTGCAGGCATTCAATTAACTCAAAATGTATCTTTTTACACCTGCCTCCATACTTGCAAAAAGTCATTGTATAAGTGTCTTCCGTGTATATATATATATGCAAAGG